CGCCGTGCATCACAGCTATTTCACTGAGAAAGGCTGCCATCGTGTGGTCATGCAAAGTAGTGCTGAAATTTCTGCTGTTGTTTCACAGTATTAAACGGACAATTCGCCCCAAAAATTACTGACACGGCGGTAAACTTTTCTTTCTTCTGAGACACAAAAGAAATTATGAAGGATGAATGATAGTCATAGTAGAAACGCATATGCAGCCAACCTTTTAGTCCATTGTGTTCAACAGAAGGAAGAAAGTCCCAACAAGTCATGGGTGAGTAACTTAAATGATGACAGAACTGTCATTTTTGGATGAACCGCCCATTGCGTCAGCGTTTTTCAGAATACTCCGGTCATAAATGGTGTTTAAAGCTGCACTACTTGCTACACTCTTAAGCAGGGGTGCCCAAACTCAGAGGAGGACAGGTGTCCTGCATATTTAGCTCAAATTTCGTTTAACACACGTTTGGAAGTTTGTGATATAGCTACCTAAAAAGAGCTTGATTAGCTGTTTCAGGTGTGCTGTGGTTGGAACTTGGAACTCAACTCTGTAGGACACTGGCCCTCCAGGACTGAATTTGGGCACCCCTGCTTTAAAAGGTTCTTTATCAGCGTTGATAACAATTTAAAGAATCTTTAAGACATTACCTTTTCTTTTCACAAAAGATTATGATTCATAAAAAATCTCATAATAAAAAATGTTTTTGAAAGAACTTTTCAGGGTCTTTGGAAAACAAAATAGTATTTTCTATGCCAGGGATGCCCACGCTTTTTTGTATGATGGGCCTAAAAGTTAAAAATAAATCAAGACATTACTTTAAATCATATTAACTGCACTATAAAAAAATCCATAATTTTACGGTTTATTTCCGGCAGTTGGAGTGCCGGAAAAAGTAAAATAACGACAGTTAAATTACAGAAACATACCGTTAAATAACGGATACTAAATTACAGAAATTTCCTTAAATTTATTTTTCTGGTAAGTTTCTGTAATTTAACTGCTATTATTTTAAACTTTTTCCAGTTGCCGGAAATAAACAGAAAAATTACAGTTTTTTTTATTTTTTTTTTTTACAAAAATTACAAAATTAAAAAAAAGAAATTATATATATAATAAATATATATATAACGTCCGTTAAATTACAAAAAATACCGTAAAATAACAGACATAAAATTATAGAAATTTCCTTGAATTTAAATTTCTGGTAAATTTCTGTAATTTAATATCTATTATTTTACTGTAAATTTCTGTAATTTAACGGCTGTTATTTTACGGGGTTACCAGTCGCCAGAAAAAAATTGTAAAATATATATATATATTTTTTTTTTACAGTGTATAATTTTAAATGCTAACTTATTAAAATAAAAAATAAAAAAACATTTATACCACAGTGTGGTTCAATGCTGAATACACTAGTCAAGCAGAATCTGCTGTTGCCTTTATTTACTCACTAATGTCGGCATTGACCGCTATATCTCGGGTGACAGTACGTACAAAAAAAAGAAGATATTTTTACATTTCATTGAAACATTTCACATTTTAGTTTGTTTTTTGTTAGTTGGCAATAAAGCAAACAAAATTAAATTTTAAGTTACAGTCTTTAAACCATGGATCTAAAACTCAAATGCTGAAGGGCCGCAGCTCTGCAGTTTTGCCCCAACCCTAATCAAACACAGCTGATCCAAATAATTAAGGTGTTCAAGACTACTAGAGACTATCAGCAGGTGTGATTTGGAGGTGGTTGGACGTTATGGATATTTTATAGAATGTTTCAACCAAAACGTCCTCAGAAATAAACAACACACACTAAGGTAACATGGCATTTCTTGATTTTATTCGATTATATTTCGCAGAGCTTTAAAATATTGAGTGGCTTTTAACTTAGATAATTAAAATACATAAAAGAAAGCAAGAACCAAATAACTCTGCAAATAAAGTATAAAATAAATAAAATAAGTAGGAGAGATGCTCTCTCACTAAAGGCAATTATTGTTTTTTTTTATATTGTTACAATTCATTTCCTTGGAGAGAAAAAAAACTTAGTGTGCATTTTCTACACAAGTGGGCTGCCACAATAATCATGACCTCTGATCATTTAGAAAAAAAGGGAGAAATAAAAAAAAAGTGTTTCAGCATTGGAGATGTGCTTTTCTCATCAATGCAACACAGCAAGTCTACTGCCATGCAACAATTATGTGTCAGTGTCTGCAGCATCTCTCTGAGGGCGCAGAGAAGCAGATATCGCTAATATCCTTGTCAAAAAACTACAGAGCAAGTCCAGACTTCCCCAAGAGCATTACTGGGAACATCAGATAATTTCTGCCACAGAATAATAAAATAAGGCTTATATTTTAAATCCCAGCTATGAGTTTCTTTCTCAGAACTGCAATTTTTAGATATTAAATCACAATTAGCATCTTGCAATTTAGGATTTTTCCCTTTCAGAAACGCTAATTGTAAAATACTTGATTCTGATTGGTCACTTAGAACATTTCAAGGTATATTACTCACAGATAACAACTGCTGATGCTAATAACACAAGCTCATCCGGGTACTTCAAATCCTGACCGTTAGTGAGTATATCCACATGCTTAGTTCTAAGCTCATCTCTGAGGCCGCTGGACTTTTTGGCGCCATATTGTGACTGAATAATACGGAACGGATTGAGCCATTTTTCATCCTTTACGTTTGATTAAAGGTAGGTGTTTTGTCTCTACTTGTTTATTTATTTATTTTTTTTAACTAGCAGCCATGTAATACGCGGGAAAATTACCATTTGGCTGGTTGTTTTCTCAAAACTTGTAACCGTTATCGTCACACATTTGTTACTTTGTATCTTAGAATTTCTTAAAAGATAATGTGAACTAATTGTGATTTCAAAGTCTGTGTGAAGTCAAAACTTAATATGTTTGGTTAATCTTTAGGTCAGGGGTGTCCAAACTCGATAATGGAGGGCCAGTGTCCTGCAGATTTTAGTTCCAACTTGCTTTAACACACCTGCACAGAAGCTTCTAGTACATCTTAAGCTGCGGTCACATAAGAGTTTAAGCATGCATTATTCTGTTGTGCAGCGCTACAAAAAGGGGCGGGATTGAACAAGCTTAATAAGCTGCAGTCACATAAGAGTTTGAGCATGCGAAATTCTGTCGTGCGGCGCAGCGAAATTGGCTAGGAATAAACAAGATTTTCAGGCATTAAAAAAGCGAGCGATTGCTCCATGTTTTAAATTTCTGTCCAGAGATGTCATGTTTTGATCCTTGATTGGTCTCACGCAGTCAAGTGATACGATTTCGCAGGTCAGAGTTCACCAAGATTGAACTTTGCTCCGCAGCAACCTGCTAAACTTGACGCATGACCCTGCGTTTCCGGTCTGACGTATTCGCATGCGTATGAATGCAAGTCTATGGGAGGAAAAGCCCAGTGTGACCGGAGCTATAGACATTTTTAAAAGCGAGCGATTGCTCCATCTTTTAAATTTCACACAAACTCTAGTGTGACCGCAGCTTAATGCTTGATCATGCCATATTTTGTCGTGCGGCGCTGCGAAAAGGGGCGGGATTAAACAAGCTTATTAGCCATTTAAAAACAGCGAGCAATTGCTCCATGTTTTAAATTTCTGTCCAGAGCGATCATGTTTTGATCCTCGATTGGTCCCATGCAGTCAAGTAATGCGATTTCGCAGGTCAGAGGTCACCAAGCTCGAACTTTGCACCGCAGCAACCTGTGAAACTTGACGCATTCACGTGCGTATGAATAGAAGTCTATGGGAGGAAAAGCCCAGTGTGACCGTAGCTTAAGAACTTGATTAGCTGGTTCAGGTGTGTTTGATTAGGGTTGGAGCTCAACTCTCGAGGACACCGGCCATCCAGGATCGAGTCTGGACACCCCTGCTTAGGTGAACAATGGAGTACATGCACACAGACTTTAACATTTCAGTCAGCAAGCCCAAGGGTTTCCGGTTACCCTGCTAAAAAAAACTGCTTAAACCAGCCTAAGCTGTTTGGCTGGTTTTAGCTGTATGTAGCTGGTCTTTTTTTCCAGCTCGACCAGCTAAGACCAGGCTGCAAATGGATTGAAACCAGCCTGGAGATGTCCAAAACCACTTTAAAAACAGGCTGGGCTGGTTTAAGCAGTTTTTTTTAGCAGGAATAATAGTCATCCCATTGAAAATTGCTGCGTTCAAGATCTGATTTCTTTTAAAAAAGTGATTTTCACGCTAGCCTGCTCCTAATGATAGCGCCTGCGTTTAAAAGGTCTTTCATCTCGTTTTACGCTTTAAAAAACAAATGAGTGCTTAAGTCAATTGATTATATTTGAATAACATTATAAAGTCGATGAAGTAAAAGGAACCTTATGAAATTGAAAATAGTCACATAAAGCTTTCACCGGATGTTCATCATTGGCTGAAAAACACTAGCTGTGCATACAGCCCATTAATCCATGCACGCTAATTCATGGAAAAAACATGTTGTTGACTTCAGCCACAATATTCTTAACCACGCCCCTCTCACATTTAGTTTGCTTCGAATGAATGATGCAGAAGTAGAAAGCCCCGCCCCCTACTCAATATTCCGTTTCAGGTGGAAGTGCATCAACATACTGAATTATCTCAAACAAGTCTCAGCAACTTCTAGTTCAAGCAGACTTTAAAAGTTAAAACTCACTATTTCACGTTATCATACATCTCTTGATTCTGAGGGAAAAGAACTCAATTTTGACTTTTGCGATTGTCTTTAAGTAGCAAAACTTTTTCCTCAGAAGCAAGTTTATATTGGAAATCAGACTTTTTCACTCGTAATTCCATTAAGAAAGTTGTGACTATATATATATATACACATATATACATACATACATAAGCCTATATATTATTAGTATTATTCAGTGGCAGAAACAGGCTTCGATGTCACCATTATTAAAAGAAAGGTTAAAAAGTAAAAATAATAGGAAGTGGATAATAGGAAAAATAGGAAGTGGATGATGACTTGGGATATAAATGCACGAGACTTTGCACTAGTCTGTCACAGTTTTATGTAAAATAAAGCTGCAGAGATTACGAACAGTCAGTCGGTTTGGGACTTCACTCCCTCCACAAGGGGGAGCCAGAGGTCGATGATAAATTCCTAAACATTGTTGCATATAAACAGACAATACCTTTGCTATATATCCAAGGCACTGATGAGAGCGCAGCTGAAATACCATTCCCTAAAATCAAATCATAATAAAAAAAACTCCAAGAGCGCATGCGCAAAACAATAATAATAACAATAAAAAAGCAAAATAAAATATAACTTGTTCCTATATAAATGACAATGGAGACAGATTGTTTTGTCCTGTAGGAAACATTCACACCAATCTGTGCTGGTACAAGAATTGCAGACTACCGGCCCTCATCCCCACCTTTTGATTATCAAGAGGCTGAGGAGTAGTGATGGAGGGGCTTGTCCTTACTTTTTTGTCATCATCCCCCCCTCCCTTTTTTTTTTTGATCGAGGAGCTTCATGAATGAGACGTTTAGGCTCATCTCTCGGTGACGTGATTGTGTGCAGTGGGGGGCAGCGGGGCGCACAGCACCTCCGACAGGTCGTCCATGATGCAGGTCTCCTTGGGGTCAATCAGGTTGAATTCCCTGATAAAGACGATGAAATGTGCGTACAGTGTGTTCAAGTGTCCCTGCAGGTCCAAAGCCACAATCTCTTTAAAGTGAGCCCAGTAGATGTGCGCCAGCACGTGGAACAGATACCGACAGACCTTCTTCACCAGAGACTCGAACGAGTTAGGAAAGTCTTTGCCTGAAAAGAAATTGAGACAATTATATTTGTATAATTGATTGATTTCATTTTTTATTATTTAATTCTTTATAAATGAATGTCATACAGTAAGCATACTTTTCTAGATTTAATCAGTTGTGATAAAGTGAACTAGGGCTACATGATATTGGAAGAATCTGGTAAATAAATAAAGAAATACATTTTTGGCCTCTCAAACATCACACATACAAAAACACAAACACAGAGCACAAACACAAAGCTTCCTACACCACAGAATAACCAACACACATCTCTAGACATACAATCTACTTCATGGTCATTTATTCAGTAGGGTAATGGCAGACGGTATTAAAGATTTCTTAAAAATATTTGTTTTTGCTGTGTGTACTCTGTATCATCAACCGGAAGTAAGCTATTAAAATTCATAATAAAGAGGATGAGTTGAGTGCTGAACTATCTGTAAGGCTGGTCTGGTTTGTATACAGTTCCATAAGCTGCTTCTAGGGATCCATTATGATCTTAGCCATATTAATGATCTTTGCAAGTATTTACTTGCTTCTAGCTCCAAGACTTACCAGCAAGAAATATTATAGGAGATAATACTTTCAACCAGACTGGTACCTCAAACCTACCTCAGAATACTCTTACTAACATTAAAACATTTTTTTTTAAAGTCTCTGTGTTGCCTTCTTGTAGATATAGTCTGCATGTTCACCAAAATTTAAGCCAGTATCAAAAATAATTCCCAGATACTTAAAATAGTTTACAGTCTCCACATGTTGACCCTCAATCATAACTGGATGACATATAGGCTGCCCTTCCCTATTCTTATAATTAGTTCCTTAGTATTTAAAGCAATAAGTGACAAAACACTTTCGTCGACTCGCACAACTCTAGCTTCTTCTTTTCCTTTGACCATAAGTCCGACCACAGCCAGTCCATGTCATCAGCATACTTATAGGGTAATATTGCTTTCAGAAATATGCATTTCACTTATGTACATCGAAAATAATGCAGGTGATATCACACAGCCTAGGGGTACTCCAGTGTTCAAAACAACCTCTTCAGATATTGAACCCTTTACAGACATTCTTTAAGGACAATCAGTAAAAAAATCCTTTGTCCATACCACTAACACAACATTACAAGCAAAAATAAATAAACAATGTTTTATGGTTGGCGGCGAAGTGGCTCAGTGGTTAGCACTTTCACCTCACAGCAAGAATTAAATAAAGTGAATTGGATAAACGAGACTTGGCTGTAGTGTATGAGTGTTTCCCAGTACTGGGTTGCAGCTGGAATGACATCTGCTGTGTAAAACATATGCTAGATAAGTTGGCGGTTCATTCCGCTGTAGCGACCCCTGACTGATAATGGGACTAAGCCAAAGAAAAATTAATAAATGTTTTAATGTGTTCTGGGGAGATTTCAAATACACAAATTGAACAATCAAATGTAACAACATGGTCATAATAGTATAAATAATAAAATATATATATATATATATATATATCTTATAATATCTTTATCTTTTAATCTTAAGTAATTCATCTAATCCTACAATAGATTATTGCGGATATGTAGATTAGGATAGACATGCTCAAAAATATATATTGTTCAGCCCTAATTTAATTCATTTTAGGGTGAGTAAATGTAATTTTTTGGGTGAACTATCACTTTAAGGAGGCTCATGAATTGCACTTTTATCCAGAAGAAAAAATATTTTCGCAAATACTTAGAAAATGTCCTTGATAGTATATATTTGGGCTGTAATGGCTAGGTTGAACAGTCGATACATGATTTGTATGAATCACAACAAACATTTTTTGTACTTGTAGATTAATCCTAAATTATTAATGATTGCAGAAAGATCGTCTCTCGCGTCATTTAAATCACATGTATGAAAGCATTTAGGCTTTCCTGTAAATATAATGAAGATGAAAGAAGTTGTGGTCGGGTTTTCAGGATGTGGTGGGTTTCTTTGGTTATTCAAGGTGTTTTTTTGTCACTAATTGTTTAGCCTGCATTAATGCATTCAGTGTAAGCTGCACGATTAATCAGTAAAATATCGTGATCTCAGCACCCACGCAACATAAATTATAAATGATGGTGATTTGCATATGTTTATTAATCCTTTGAATCGCTGCATTGAATCAAACTTGTGTTTGAGAAACCCAAAAATCATGAAAGATATTCAGTATTTAGGCTTGATTTAGTTATGAAGTTACAAAAAGTCAAATAACCTAGAAGTACTGGGATAACATTTTATAGTTTAGATAAAACCACTGTTGTTTATGGTAAAGATTAAAATTACTGCCATATGCTCAAAAATGAAAGTTGTAGGCAGAAATTATATTATTTAACCAATAGGTGGCGACAACCAGCCATCAAAAAATATGCCACTCAATTCTTTAAAAAAATTATTCATCTAGCAATGAAACAAAGTTTTATGAGTGAATAACCAAATCATTTATTGAAAATTTGATTAAAAACAAATATGGGCTGTACAAAAGATGATGGTAGATTTATACATTTAGCATAACCAGCAACAGTAGAAGTAAAAGGGAATTTTTTACAGTCCTGAATATTTTACTATTTATTTTTGCTCAGCTGATTATTTCTCCATTTTATTTTATTTTATGAAACCAAAAAGTTTCTTGCAGTACTGTAATTGGTAATAAATAGAAAGCAAATTACATTGTCTCCTCTTTGGCAGATCCAAAAAATGGTCTGATCCATGACTAAAAAAATTAAAAGATTTGTGATTCGTTAGACCATATATATATATATATATATATATAAATTATTATTGTATTATTGTTTAATTATATATATATCTTTTTTACAACAGCATAAATATTGCCAAAAGTAAACATATATGTTTATTCACAAGGCTCATTGCACATTATGAACCCAGGAGGGTAGCAGTGGTCCAGGACATTTCACATCAAACTTCAAGAAGATCTAATCTCGTAGTTTTCCATTATGACGAAAAGAGGGCACCGATTACACACACACTCACCATATTTTGTGGGAAAGATTTCTTCATCCGTCACTAATTTCTGCACAAACGTCATGACGAGGTCGACATACTGAGGCGCTGTGCACTTTGTCTTCTTTCCCCTTTCGTCATACCAGTAGTATATTCTGTGGAAAAAAAGATGACAAACAGGGAAATTTACCTTTTTGTGAGTCACTTTTTACACACATTATGTTCAACACTTTACTGTTAAAGCAACTGGAATGCAGCCGCCGTCACCTTTTTAAGAAGGACTGTGCATCACGAAAGTCAGTTTGGGAGGCTAGCATGGGTTCGAGGGAATGTAGACATTACAAATCTCCTGGAATGCAGACTGTCCGCATAACTGACCCTACAGCAGGACTCAAACACCAAACCAAATAAAAACCACTCAACCACTAAACCTTAACTGAAATAACCGCCATGGTAAACTAAAGCCCAACTGGTACGTAAACAAGGATGAATGGACAGCCAAATAAATGGTGATCGGAAAACCCGCAAATTTCTAAATGTTCTCGAATGTCTATAAATGACGTGCTACTGATCTAAGAGCAGGTCCAACTGTTGGCGATTGTGATAAATTAGAACAACACTGCAATAAAAATAACTTTTTAATTTAATACAAACCTATTATTCATTTTTTTAATTTATTTAAAATTAGATACAAGTAGAATTTTTTAAAGATATTTCTTTATGATTACTCTCTTGCTTTTGCTCTTTTTATGTTATTTAATCTGTTTAATTCTAACTTAATTTGACAAACAATATACAAGAGTGTATCAGTTGAAGAGAAAATTATTTTATTTCCTTTAGAATGATAAAGAATTTTAAACATAATAGTTTTAGTAGCAAATTAACCAATTTCTTTTGTTTTTGCCATGATGGCAGTACATATATTACTAGGTAATTTGCAAAACACTAGTGCATTTTGTCGATTTAACACATTGGGTTAACTGGGCAAGTTAGGTTGCCATTGAGCAACAGTGGCTTGTTCTGTAGACAACTGAAAGAAATTCAAGGGATCTACTATAATATTGACTTCAGCATTTTTATATATACATTTTTGTAAGAAAACAAGAGGTTCTCCAGAAGATATATATAGTAGGATTATAGTATTTTGTCTGATACAAAATACAGACAAAAAAAAGTTCTATATTGGCATCAGTGGTTCTGTGAAGAATATTCCACGTAAAGCTCTTTATAGTAAAAGTAGATATAATAAAAATGTCTTTTAAGATATAAAAATGTTTTTTTCTCTTTTAAAAATCGAACAATAAAAGTTGTTTTTATGGCATCACTGCAAAAATGTATTTAGAGCCCTTTTTATGTGTGATTTTCTGAAATGTCAAACAAATAAATGTATAAATATCTACAATTCTCCTAAAATTATATTGTGGGAATTATAATAATAATAATAATAATAACATATATATATATATATATATATATATACTAAAGAAAAAAAATCTGGGGTGCTGGAAAAAAAAAGTAAAATAATGGCCATTAATTTACAGAAAGTTACTGTAAAGACACAGAGGTTAAATAACAGAAATTTACCAGATATGTAAATTTAAGGAAATTTCTGTAATTTGATGCCCATTATTTTACAGTAAATTTCTGTAATTTAATGGCCGTTATTTTACTTTTTTTTCCGGCACCCAAGCTGCCAGAAATAAACCATAAAATTACGTTTTATTTATTTATTTTTTTTTTTATACAGTGTACAGTGAGGGGAAAGGTATATGATCCCCTGCTGATTTTGTATGTTTGCCCACTGACAAAGAAAGTATTAGTCTATAATTGTAATGATCTTAACTTTGAGAGACAGAATAGCAACAAAATATCCAGAGAAGCGCATTTAAATAAGTTATGTTAATTATTTATTAGTTAATTTATTATTATTCATTTATTTATTATTAAAGTTTTTGTTTTTACAAATTCTGATTATAACTAATTATTATTTTATAACCATAATTATTTTTAGACTATTATTTAAAATACTATACAATTATTAATTGACTGATAATCCATTATGTATTTTCTTTGATTATTCCTAGGGGTCAATCACATCGAATGTGCTTTTTACATAGGGAGACACCTATATTGAATAATTTACTAACGGTCGAGAGCGTTTTGCACGCTGCTTATGCACCCTACGCACCTCGCATTTAACCGCCTTCTGCGCCTTGTTTTTTTTGACGTTGCGCAAACTCTGAGTGAAAAAGCGTGTTACGTCAATCAGGTTTATTCTCCAATCAAATAAAAGCAGAGGCGGGGAATTTTTGAGGCGACAGCAGTGTTTGTGTTGTCAAGACAACTACAGAGACTTCTAAAGATGGTGGAGAGACTAGTGGCCACTGTTTTAAGTTATCCAGAGCTGTATTACTTTACAAACATTAAATATCACAATAATATTAAATATTACAATAATAACAATATAAACAGCAACATTCAAACACAATACGCAGCTGATTCAGTCACTGCCTGGTGACGTAAGAAAAAATAAAATAAATAAAAATTCGCACTTCCACAAAAAAAGGCGGTGTGGCGCGCATTTTTGGAATGTAAAATCATGTTTTGTGTGCTCTGCCCCTTAGTCGTTTAATCATTTCTCCATTAATTTAAATTTTAATATAAGCTACAAAAAAAAGCTTCTATACTTTTTCTCCTGTGTATAGGCATACTATTAAAAGCATCAACAATAAATAAATGAAAATGAAACATAGTAATCACATTTATGTGTGCTTCACAGTCCCTTCCCTTTCCTGTGTCTTCTCATCAACTGAAAACCAGAGGTGATGGAAAATGCGGCTTGCGGTTGGACAAGCGCACCCATCCTTGCCCTTTGTGGTATGCCTGGGGTGAGTACGTAATTGTTTGCTTTTTGTGTGTTGCTAATTCTTGTCTTTTAGCTTCTGCAATGAATAGTCATGTATCTGGTTTTACAGGGTCAGTTAGTGAATTCAGCGATTCACACCCAGGCGTTGTGCCGACTAAACAGGGTGAACGGGTTAAGCAAACATTTTTAAAAAGTCAACACTGTTACCTGTGGGAATGTACATGTCTTTAGGGTGATTTCTAACGTTAGGAAAATTTTCTGAAAGACCGCTGCATATGATTAAAACCTATGGATTTGGTCAAATGAATAAGGCTGAATTATTTAATAAAAATAGTTAAAGAGAATTAGATCACAAATCAGGGGATTGGTTAGGCCATTCTACAGCTTAATTTTCTTTCTCTGAAAGCATTTGAGAGTTTCTTGGCTGTATTTTGGATCATTGTCATGCTGAAATATCCACCCTGGTTTCATTTTCATCATCCTGCTAATGTAGATGTTGGACTGAAGCAGTGAATATTAACTTACAATGAGGAAGGACAGAAGGTTGCTGAAGAACTACTGAGAGATTTCAGCTGCTGTCTGGGCTTTCACTACCTTTTTATATTTCTCTTTCTTCATGTGTTTAACACTTTTTCCCTGTGTCATAGTTTCCCTGTGTCATATTTCGGATAACTTAATTTGTGAACTTATTAAATTAGTTTTATTTGCATAAATGGAATTC